TGCCTGCCTCTTCAGCGGCTAAGTTGACCAGTTGTGGCCAAAACTTTGGTATATTTCTTAACATGGCTGCTAGCACACACAGTTCCAAAAGTTTTTGGTCTGTGTAAGTTTTCCTCTCCGCACTGATCTTCCCCCCTGCCTTCACTAAAACGCCGGACGAAGTGGAAAATGTTCTAATTTCTAGCACAAAATACGCTATCAACAATGGACATCTGGAATCCAGGAATACTGGCATTGAATTTTAAAATCTCATATCAGCGAAAGCCTGAAGGCAAAAGAGCAGCACACCTCTGATCACAGTCCAACACATCTCTGTAGCAGTCGGTCTTTCCTTGGGGGGGGTGTTGATGCTCGCTGATTACTAGATATATTTAAATTTTTTCCACCCCGAGCCGTCTGAAGCGGTAGTCCTCTCCCCGCGTGCATCTGCTCCTCAGCGGCCTGCAGGGGCCGATCTGTTGGCTGGCAGAGCCGGACAATGATCTTTATCGATGGGACTGGATGGATGAGCGGGGCCCCGTGGGGCCTGCGCTGAGTTTCGAGCCGAAGCGATGGGAGCTGGTGAGGAGAAGGGGAGCGAGGGGGAAACACTGAAAAGGAACACTCTGGGTTCGCTCCTGTCCCTCCTCATACAGCGGACACACTCACTTTGTTCCTTCGGGAACCGTGTTTAAGCCTCTTCATTCATCTGCGCAGCTTCACCTGCTTCATTACCTGCTGCCGATCATCCGGGTTTATAGGACAAATAATGCAATCTGTCCCGTGTCTACTTGCCTGGCGGGAGGACTTTAGAGAACAGCACCTTCTCATCTATCAGGCAGCTTGGACATACATCACCAGAGTAGTAGATTACATTGCTTATGCACGCCTTTCCAAATGGTAAACACTGCAGCACTAAGCAAACTCCCTGCCTTGTCTGATTGTACACCTCAGCCACCCCCACCCCCCCCCCCCCTTCGTCTGACAGCAACCCCACCCCCACCTCCTCCCCTGCTGTGGTGCGTGGCAGACAAACTTCTAACGTCCACACAGAGGGGAAGAAAATCATTACTTTAAATCAGTTTGGCTGTTTGTGAGAGTCGCCCAGGACAGCAGAGCTGAGGATGGTAAAGTGCAGGCTGTCCTCATTGATCTGTGCAGCCCTCTAATCTCATTAACTGGCTCTTGATTTATTGAGATGGGGCCCAGAGTGCGCCAAGGTTATGGAAGCAAACACCCGGCCCGCTCCCCGCACTGAGGGTCACACGGAATTGAGGTCAATTGACTGTTCGGCGGACCCACGCTCCCACAATCCTTTACACCAGCCATTGCCTTCTCATTAACGCCTGTTTTGGGGTGGGGCCGGTGGTGGGGACGTGGTGGGGAGGTGGTGGTGGTGGGAGGTGGAAAGAAAGGGAGCATTAGGGGATAAATTATCGGCCGTAATGAGGTGAGGCAGGGCTGCATCCAGTCATCACAATCTTACAAGCTACACAACAGTGCTAATAATGTGGCCCCGACAATACAGGCATCAAACCGAGCTATTGATTCCACTGCAGCAAGCAGGTAAATTGACTAATAAATAAAGATACAATGCAAACACATGCCCACTGTAATTATACACCTATCGAGCCGCCGTGATATATGACACATCGGCAATTTGCTAATTCTTGCCTGTGGTTTGAATGATAGGGAGGATGATGATAATGCTGTTGAGGCTGACATTAGCCATAGTTCAGTGTTTGCTGGCTCTGAATGACCGGTCAGTAATGACTGGGGTTCTAGCGGTAGACGAGGAGCCAGCAGAATCCCACGAGAACGCCGACTGTCACCTGTTCTTCGATCAAAACATGGACGCCGACCAGCGCTGTTTATATGCAGTGACATTTGCATTGAAAAGGCCAAAACAGGAGGAAAGAAAAAAACAAAACACACTCCGTCTGGGTGAGATCCTGGATGGAGAGACACGGGCAACGTGATGGACTGTAATGTCATGGCCTACGCAGGAAACAGGACGTGAACTCTGTAAACAACAAAGCTAACGTCAAAGATGGCTGTTCTTGTTCCAGTATGTACATGACGGACATGAACTTCCTGTTAGAACCACACACTTTCAATCAGTCTCATCAGCTGATCCAGGCTGGAACAGACCTGGTCCAGACCCGTCATCGCACCCGGATCGCACGTCTCCATCTGAAGAGTCCACAGTCATGCTAGCGGCTCCTTCAGGCTGTACTCAGACACACTGGTGCTATGTGCTAAATGCTAACGTCAATCAAATTACTATTCAATGCAATGCTGTGGTTCACTGCTGTGCTTCAATCACAGAGTCAATATACAATTATATATATATCATTGAATTAGCGCTGCGCCCTGACAGTGACCCTGTCCTGTGACGTCCACCATCTTCATTTCTGGATATTGACAAAGATCTACTGGTTTGATCTGATTTTGATTCACAAACACCAGAATTGATTCACTTTGATTTGATTCAACTCCACTAGTTGTGATTCTTGATGATCTGGTTACATCAGATTAACACCAGTGTTAAAAATAAAAAGCTCTTCTCAGAATTTATCCTGGAAACCTGAAATGAGCAACGCTGTTCCTCGACTATGAAACTGTGTAAAGACACATTACAGGCTGCACTGTGAGAACATTTCTCAGTTGTAAAACTGTTGACCAAAGATGGATTTTCCTTGGTGGATGCAAAACGACTAAAAACATGACACATCGATATTCCCGTGCAGCTACGCATAGACTGTCAGTAGCAGATGCTTCAGACATCCACTTTAATTATCACTTTGAGCACAGACAGGACGGAAACTGAAAGTCTGCTCACTAATTCATCTGCAACACGTCAGCCTGATATCTGCAGACAACCGGCTGAATCCACACACACACACACACACACACACACACACACACACACACAGCTCAGTCGACTTCTGTGGCCTCACATCTCATAGATAATATCTCCTCGGCAAACCTTCCTATCTCTCCCCCACGAGATGTGAGATTGATAGACTAGTCACTATGAGACACCCAGAGTCAGTAACCATCGCGAGTCACGACCGTCCTGTGAACTGCGGCGGCTCCACGGGCACTGTGATTAATTCCCATCACAGTTTATAAGCCTGGAACTCGTACGGCCAGCTGTCATATATGTTGCTTTTTTTTATCTTCAAATATACTGTAATTTCTACATGTTGGACATTTGACACATGACTACTGGACAAACTTACAACAAGTAACCACTGCACACACACACACGCACACACACACACACAACATGAAGAGCATGTGCTCACTGAGAACAGGCACACACGTGCAAAGACTGATCTTGGAGGTTTTCAGAATCAATATCGGATCATTCACATGAAAGTCACGATTAATCGGAAAATCAATGTTTTTTTTATGCAGCTCTAATCTTCATCAACTCCCAAACGCACTGTATAATGCATGTAATCAATCAATCAGCATCGTTATCAAATCATTGACAAGTGCTTTCATTAATTATTCATGTACCAATTATTTATTCACTGCTGACTATATTCTATTCTATAAAATATCCCCCACACTGAAACATGCCCGTCAGTTTCCCTGACACACACTGATGTCTCACTCAGTCCGACTGGCATCAAATATTCATTCTATATTGATTAAAAGTGAAGCCGAGACGGCGAAAAAACAAATACATGTTTGTATCCATTTGTGAAGCTGTGACCAGTGTGTGTGTGATGTCTTTACTTGACTAAAACAACAAATCAATTATTAAAATGACGATCAATATTAGAAGGGGGAACTCCAGCAGGTTAGAATCAGTCGTCTGTAAAATGAACGGACGGTTAAAAATAAAGCAGCCGAGGCCCGAGATACAATATATCCTGATGGATCAAGCTCACTCCAACATATTGGATACTACATTTCCCATAATGCATCTCCCTCCAAAACAGCCCTCATGGCTTCACCTTAGAAAGCTGTCCTCCAACACTGCAGATGGTAGTCGACGGTGTGTTTACTGGCCGAGCGGGAGAGAATAAACTGGTCTGGGTAAAATCTGTGGTGTTGAACTAAAAGTGACGGTTAATGTTTATGTCAAATTTATATTTATTACTTAAAAGAAAACAACGATATCGTTCGATCAGACTGGGATTGAGCCACAAATGTTCTTCCGTGCTCTAAAAATGAACGGCATGGCTCCATATTAAATGTAAACGCATGTAAAAGCTCAGGCATCAGACTGAGACTTCTGACACAAGTTGATGTCGGTTTGTCACGGACTTCTTCCTTGTCACTCGCTCTAAACAGCTCGTTCTCCAATAACAGTCTCCTTGACTAGTGTTATACAAATAACCGACCATAACTCTTTACTGTACAGTCACTTGGCTGGAGCAACCTTGGCTTTTGTATTTCCTGACAGCAGACATTTTCCACTTCAATCAGCGTTTAACTATTACCGGCTCATATATAGAAAAGAATGTATATATATATGGATTGTGATTGAAAGACTACGTCCACCGTTATGTCACACATTAAGCAGGTAGCGGGTTTTAATATGTGCTGAACGGAGACAAGCTGCTGTAACGTTTGCTGCTGTGGATGATGAACATAATGTCCACTCTCGTGTTGCAGATCAGATTCAGGCGCCAACGTGCACAGATGGATTTGAGTTTTAGTTATTAGTTACTTAGTTTTACAGTTTCTCTTTCAGGACCTTCAGGACCCCCTCGGCAGTTTTCCTGATGTTCGGCCAATCAGAAAGAAGTGGGCTATAAAGGAGGCCTGAGCTAATACTGCCTGTTCCAGCCAGAGGCTCAACTGAGGGGCTGTGTGACAGGCAGTCTGAGATAAATCAGGACTGTGAATCATGAAAAGCTGATTTAGTGGAGTCCCAGAATAAAAAAATATAGAGCTGGAAATGATCCTCAAAATCAGCTGACCTAAAATATTTAACACTAGTTACAGAGTGATTACTGCAGCCCGGTGCTGTGCTCGTGTAAGTGTCTCGAGACTCTTACCTGGTATTCACTGGGCCAGAAGGTACTGACGGCGAGCTCCACCTGGTACCACTGGTGTCCCTGCGAGCCCGAGATATTCCACACGGCGCTGCCCTTGGGGCCCCCGTTGACACGAATGTAGACCTGCAGGTCCCCGGGGCTGTGGCCGTCGCGGCTGTACAGGAAGTAGCTGAACTGGATGCAGTGGGTGTCGTTCTCGCTGAGCGGGAGCAGGAGTAGCTGAGCCCGCTGGCCCCCGAAATGCTGCGAGGAATTGACCATCATGAAGGACCCTGGAGGAGAAGGACGGGTTAGAAGATGTATATATACATATATATACATATATATATGTAGATTTTTATCAAGTATCAGTTCAATTACTGCTTGTTTCGTTGTTCAAATATTATTGGCGAACTCTCACCGACTTCATAAAGAAGAGTTTGACCTTGTCTGGAAAGCAAGACTCCACTTCTTCTCCCTACACTTACATATGATTCACTTCACAGCGGCAGCCGTTTCAGCAGTTTCAACCTGCCTGACAGATTTGAGTGAAATATAAAAAAATAACAAGCACCAACTCTTTGGGCTTCACCTGTAACACCTCAGCCCAGGATAGATATGTCATGTTAGTTTTCAACCGCTGAAGAACGACTGCTTTTCTTTTTCTTTTTAAATCCTCCGAAAAAATAAAAAAGAGCCTGAGAGCCAAAGTTGACAGGCTCAAGGTTGTTACCAGGAATATATGTGCGATCCTCTCTGGCTATTTGTCTGTATTTGTCTCCTGCTTCCCTCTGCTTCCTGCTTTCTCAGGGGCTTCCATCAGTTTTGCAGCGCTGCCTCAGATCTGCTGTGTTCAAAGCTGCAGCGCCGGGTGTCATATTGGGCTTTCATTTTGGACTTAAGTTCACAGTCACTGCTGGCTCTCTCATCCTGGCAGCTAAGCAGAGATCTCCTGGCCGCGGAGAGAGGCACCGCGGCGGTGAACGGGGGAGGTTTGCCACAAATGGATGTCTATTCATACATAAATACAGACGCAAAAATTACAAATTGACTCTTATAATATTTGAATTACAAAGTGATTTGTATTTTTGACATCAAAACCTAAATTAGCATAATCCCTCCGCCCGTCCACGTTTGGTTTATCTTGTGCACATGCACGTGGGTGACACAATAAACAGTGCTGCCAATGGTTTCACACGATTCCACTGACCTACAGGTGGTGGTAGCATGCCAAGACGTGCGGCGACGTGCCAGCAGAGACTGCAAACAAGTAAACACGGATATATACAAAGCTGGATTTAAAATATTGGTTTTATGTGGATGGAAATGCACTCAACATATTTGTCCGACCTCAAACATACACACAGTGTGTGTTGGTGAGAAACTGTGAATGTGCTGAATGTGAAAATACTTTTCCATGTTTTCAAGAAAATTCCACAGGGCACCTTTAAGTTGTTTTTCCACAGAAGACAACATTAAGCAAGTTGAGGAAAGGTTCAGCAATCTGTTTCTTTTTAATAACACATATCCAGCAAAGCCATCTCCACGGCAAAACCCTCTCCTCGCCATAATCTCCGCTCTGTATCGCAGCGAATGGAGAAAAATAAACACAACAACTGCATAGCAGCAGTCATTTATTCAGGAATGAGACGAGGGAAAAGAGAAGATGTCTGGATGCAGCTCTAATTCTATAAGTATGAACGCAGAACGCCGTGTGTCTGTGTCACAGTGAATGAAAAGTGGAAACGCAGTTAGTGCAGAGAATATAACTAAACCCACAAAACAGCTGGATCCAACGTGACGCATCATTTAGCGTTGTGCTATCACTATCAGTCTGTGAAAACCAACCACTCGACTATAAAACAATCCGAAGCCCTTTTTAAGACTTCAACATCTATGTGAGTACTTTATTTTGAAAGTTCAGCTGCTGAACTTTCAAATTAAAGTACCAGGCACCTTAAAAACAAACAACATGCACGTCAACGACACAGGCAGAATCACAAAGTTTGCATTCAGCTGCACAAACTGGTTTTGATTTCATCCATGTGGAACTAGACTTGGGCGAAATATCCAAAATGTAATATCCATAAATTCTTGCCCAAACACGACAAACTGTGTCATCGCAATATTTATAACACAATTATATTATTGTATTTTACGTTTCAGGTGTTTGTAATATGTTTGTTTGTTTGTTTGTTTTGTTTGTGTGTTTGTTTGTTTGCCCGAACATGTAGCAAAAACACGCAAAGACACGTGCATACTGAGTTAAAAATCATCACAGATCTGGTTTGGCTATTTTATGTTTCAGGTACAAGCGATGCTGTGAAATGAGGTTTGGACTCAGCAGCAAAACTTCCCAAAAAAATAAATGAACAAAGAATTTCTTTCCAGATATTCTATAAATTATCGCATATTGTGGGAAATATCGCGATATTCAATAATATCAAAATCGGGCCGAACGAATGAGGAACAACAAAAACTTGAGGCTCAAAACGCTTTTGAAACGTTTCACTGTAACTTTGAAGAAGCAGCTGCTGAACACGGAGGAAGATAAACACGAGGAGACAAAAACACTGGCAGGGAGCTGTCTGTGTTTATTACCTCGGACTGCTTAAAGTGGCCTCGGGGATCACGTAGCTTCCTCCCTAACTTCTAATCTCCCAATCATCATCACACTCACTCTTTGATGCTGCTGTTAAACAGGGTGGTGGTGGTGGTGGTGGTGGTGTGAACGCATGTATAACCTTCACATCCAGTGCATCCAGAGCGGTGAGGCGGTCGCTGCCGCTGCTCAGTACGGCCGGGGTGGATGAGCACAGACAGTGGGATGGAGGGTTGTGTAGTTGCCTAGGTACTGTAGTTGAGCGGCAGTGCAATCAGAGCTCTGCCTCCTGCATTAATCATACTGACACGGTTATTAGGCCATAATGGCAACCGAGGGAATGCTTAAACCAGAGAGATGGCTGTAATACTCGCACACTGACATGCAGCACACACACACACACACACACACACACACTCACACCCAGTGTTTACAGGCTGAAAAGCAGACTCAGAGCAGAATCCCGCTGACCTTCCCACGAGTGAGAAGTGGCTTCCTCGCGTCATTCCTCTTCCTTCATCGTCTTACTTTCATTTTTCCCCTCATTTCTTCGTCCTTTACCTCATTTTTCACCTCCCATTCTTCCGCCTTCCGCCGGCTCCTCTTCATCCACACTGTCTTTAAAACGCAAGAGTCTCGATCGAGCATAAACAGCATTCCTTTATAAACACAAAGATTCACCATCTGTTCTGTTTTTCAAGAAACGACACAAAAAAAAAAACCTGCCAAGCATCAAAGAGAAATATCTGTGAAGGTGTTTCATTAACAGGTGATGTGTAGACTCAGTTTCATCAAGCGTAGGAAACATTCAAAGAAGTAATTGGTGCTGTTATTTTAGATTTTAGAGTGTAGTGGGCCGATAACAAACTAGAGACAGTCTCTTTACTCTTTAATGTGCTCTGAAAAAAAAGAAATCTTCCTCTGAGTGCAGCTATTTATTTAGGGAAAGGCAAATGTGAAATGAACTCAATTATACTACGTGTACTTTGTGTTATCAAGTAATTTTCCGTGTCTCACTCGGCGATACAGTTGCATCATTTGGTATGCAAAGGCAAGTCACCAGGAGTCTGGTTTAATGTGTAGCCTGGAGTGTGCGCCGCCAGCTCGCTCACAATTACAGAGGGACGTTTGATTTCTTTCATCAGTCCTTCGGTTTAAGGAAATCAAAAAAAAGAAAAAGAAAAAGACAGAAAGAAACAGGTCAAAAGCTGGGTCAGTTCCACGGACAGCCCTGGATATAAATGGATTTAAAATGCATATCACAAAGCCTCCCTGAACACTGTCCGCTCCCTCCCTCGGCTCCATCTTCCCTGCCCCCAGAAGCCCGGATGAGACGTCAAACTGCCAGAAATATCCTGTGATAACAAGCAGCTGCTGTCCTCTGAGATCTGCCTGTGTTCTCGGACAACGCTAATATTTTTTCTCTCTTCCTCACCTGCTCACAGGCGAAGCTGGGCATGCTCTGGCTTGGCCCCCCCCCCCCCCTCGCCCCAGATGTGTGTGTCCTCGCAGGGAGCGGAGGGGGGTGTGGTGGGGTGGGGGTGGGAATCTGTGGCTAAATTGCTTTTTCCTTCAGCTATGAGAGCCGGACCCCCCCTCGCTGTTGGAGTGCAGGTCTCCAGCTGTCTTTATGACAGGATTGCATTGGGAGGAGACAGTGAGGAAACACGGCCTCGGCGACAGCGCTGCTTTTTTTCCCCCATGTTATATTCAGATGTCTTCAAGCATCAAGCATCGAATAAAGACGGAGCTTCTACAGCGTCTTTTCCACCTGAAGGTTTCTTTGAAGCCACCTTGTAGCTGAAAGGGTGAAAAACAAGAGAATAATAAACGCCACGCCTCTTTTCTTCCTAAATATGACGCACGGTTCGATATCTGCCCGACTTCATCCCGACTCGCTGTGATGTCATGCTGACATCAGCGGCAGTGCCCCTCATGACATCAAGGCAGCTGCAGCTTTCACATCCTAGTGCGGCAAAACCAACTGCAACACCGCTTTGCATGCTGGGGAAACATCTGGTTTTGAAGCTGACCTAAGAACTCAGATGTGTGAAACATCTGGTTTTTCATCTGATCTCTGATGTGTGAACGATGTGTCTTTATTTTCTGTTCAGTTATAAAGATCTAGATTTTATTGGTTCAAGCGTTTCCTCTGTAAACACAGAGTCAGATCATTCTACGGTTTCCAACTGATCGATCGGATGAAGTGTTCCTGGATCAGTACGATACATCTCTATTAAGATCTGTGCAAACTGACGTTAAGCCATGACAAACTCATTGAAAGAAGTGTTTGTCTTATATTCATGACATTTGCTTTTCCTTATAATTGTGAGGACAGTATATGTAATGTCAGTGGATGTTTCTGATTTCTCAGGATGGGAATCAGTCTGAGGTGCACGAGCTCTTTATATATAATGTCTAATCTTTAAATTAAGGTAATAGAATCAACAATGTCACGGTTACAACAATGTGTAGTTTATTAGGTACACTTAGCTAAAACTGATGCAGTCTAATACAACAGTCCTGCAATAAATCCAACCTCATCATAATTTTTTACTCTATCAATCAATAATCTTATTTTTAAAGCACTGTTCAAAATGCAATTATTCACTGTCATTTAGAAACTCACTGGTGGCCTAAACTGGAGGTTGGTTCCCTCATTCAGAGCTTGGATGATGTTCGTGCCTTCTC